AGCTCCATTTAGATGCCAGACATGGCACCTTAGTGATGGGTACACCATGTCGCCACCCTGCTTTTGGCTGGGGACCCTGAGAAATGACAGTCCCATTAGGTGTCATGTAAAGCAGCTGACCTCACACTCTCAGCACTTGATCTTTGCATTGCAAGCGACCATTTGTCACCGTTGACCAGAGATAGAGCTCAGGTGACTCAATGTCACCACTGCCTTTTGAAAAGAATAACATATTTATAAGTTTTTTCCAAGTTTAGAACAGAAGATGCAAATTTGCTTAGAAAAAATGGATAGGCAAATTAAAAGCAAGGAATAGACTTCTTTCCTCATAGGCAATATGCTTTCTAATCATTACAAAAATTATCTGAATTTGAAACTTTTTGACCCAGGGGAAATAAAGATTTATGGTTGGTTGCCTGAAAACTTTTCCTTTTACAATCTTTATCCCAATAGGTAACAAACAATACAAGTACTTCTGCCAGAACAAACACATTAACATAGAGCACCCACAGAGCCTTATTCACAAAAAGTAATATTTCTCTTTCCTTTTCAAACAAGGTTTAGTTTTCTGTAAATAGCAATTCACATAATAGGAAAATTCCCACCACAATATTTTCAAACTCTAAGAATAATATTCTCTCCTCTACTTGTTGTGCTTAAGAAATCCCAGAATTTGAGCTAGCTAGTTACAAGATAAGCTTCTCACATTTCTAGTCTTCTAGTGATTCAGAAATCTCTGTGCTGATTTCATAGTAGTAGCTATTGAGCTAGTGACCATTGCACATAGGCATTGTGCAAAGTGTGGTACATAGTGTATTTTATGAATATGTCATTTTATTTTTTTATGAATGTGCCATTTTAATTCCCACTAGAAGCATGAGAGTTTAGTATTACTGTCTTTTTATAGATAAGTAAACTAAGAATCAGAGAATTTATGTTATTTTCCCCAAAGCAGCAGAGCTGGTAGCAGAGTTCAAATGTAAACACAGTGATTATAATTTTAAAATTAATTACAAATTAATTAATTGGTTAATTAATTAGATGCTGTTAAGGGCGCCTGGGTGACTCAGTCAGTAGAGTATGTGACTCTAGTTCTCAGGGTCATGAATCCTTTTTTAAATTTTTAAAAATATTTTATTTATTTTTGAAAGAGAGAGAGAGAGGAAGAACACGGGAGGGGCAGAGAGAGAGAGAGGGAAACAGAATCTGAAGAGGCTCCAGGCTCTGAGTTGTCAGCACAGAGCTGGACACGAGGCTCAAACTCACAGACCGTGAGATCATGACCAAAGCCAAAATCGGACACTTAATCAATTGAGCCACCCAGGCACCCTAACAGGGTCATGAATTTGAGCCCCATATTGGGTGTAGAGTTTACTTTAAAAATATTAAATAAAATTACCCTCATTTTGGGGCACTTGGCTAACTCAGTCAGTGGAGCATGAGACTCTTTATCTTGGGGTTGAAAGTTCAAGCCCCACATTGAGGGTAGAGTTTACTTTAAAACAAAATTTTAAAATAGATGCTGTTAAATTCTTAGCTACACTCTTGCTCAAAATTAAAAGTTGAGATCTTTTCTCATTATAAATATTCCATACTATATTTTATTTGAAAAAATGTCTAATTTATTCAACAAGATTCTTTATTTTTTTAAGATTTTATTTTATTTTTTTTATGGGGCACCTGGATGTCTCAGTCGGTTAAGCGTCCAACTTCAGCTCAGGTCATGATCTCAAGATTTGTGAGTTCAAGCCCCGCATTGAGCTCTGTGCTAACAAGCTCAGAGCACAGAGCCTGCTTCAGAGTACGTGCCTCTCTATCTCTCTGCCCAATCCCACTTACACTCTCTTGCAAAAATAAATAAACATTAAAGAAAAATTTTTGTGAGTAATCTCTACACTCAGTGCATGGCTCGAACTCACAACCCTGAGCCAGCCACACACCTCTCAACAAGATTCTTAAAAGACTGAGTCATGGCTTATCCCTCTATTGTGTAATGACAGAGGCTGAAATGTTGTTGCATTTGAGGAAGTAACTTTATTATTTTTTGTGAACTCATTGTTTCTTTGGAAATGATATTGTTTCCAAGCACTGTGCTCTTGCTTTTTCTTCATGTACCTGTATCTCCTGGGGAATGTCTTTCCTCTCAACATACAACCCTGACACAAAAAATGAAGTATTACCTTGATTGTCAAAGGAAGAAATAACTGAGACTCAAAGCCATGATAAGCTACCTGTAATGATATTCCTCCCTATTATGACCTCCCATTTCCCAGCCCAACCCTTGAGTAGAAGAAATTGGATTGATTTACAGCTGAAAATATAATTAAATCACTTTAATACTGAAATTAGAATGGCAAGACCTGTATTTTTGTGATTTCAACATCTCAGTGTTAGCGTCCATGGCACTTGTTTTCCCAATTTATTTTACATTCCCATGTTTTCCCAGTTTATAGTGTTTGTGAAAATAAGTTCCGTTTCACCCTTTGAACTTTTTATTTTGCAACACCAAGCATATTAATGAAAAATAAAATAGTTAACAATCTCAATGTTTCCATACATTTACAACTAATATTTGGCTGACTTTGAACATGGTAGCCTTAAAGTAAAATGAAATTTAAAGATACTAAAAATATTAAAATGCTAAGTACAACAGAAAGACAAAAATACATAGCTGAGGTCAAATGAAAGAAAGATACATATCCAGGTGACAGGAAGGAGCCCAAACAAGCAACTTGCAAGACAAATGAAATCAGTCAGAGAGAAGTAGTGGAGTTATATGACCTAGGGGCCAGAAGCTAAGGTTTCAATTTCCATACAGAGACAGGAGATGTGGCCTTGAATGCACATAACTATAAAGAAGTGGAAATAAGACGTTTCCTGAAGTTAGGACTCCAAAGGGGCTGCCTCTTCAGTGTAACACAAGCTTTCCACGCCAGCATTCCAGAGACAAAAAAGGACGCTGTCTCTTCCAAAGGCTCTAACAGGATTTTAAAAGTAAAAACTCATTTGAGAAAGTGAATATTCAGTTTATGTTATCTTTATGGCATAGGAAACCTTAAGCCAAACTACCACCATGGAGATTTATTCCCAACTCTCAAATTTGAAAAATCTAATAAAGGAAAATGCAAGGCTACTCTGCATTGACATGGTAGAAATCTAGATTGACAGCTGTTTCCCTTCAGCATTATTCTCTGGCCCTGGACAAATGTACACATAATCATCAATAACACTGGCCTGAACCCCAAATTCCAAATCCTAATACAGTAAGCCATACAAGCTAGGGAATTAGAACCCGACCAAACAATATGAATTTCTACCATCTTGGGTCTCTGCCCCATTCGCAGAACCCCCAACAGTGCCCCATGTTGGGACAGAGCATCCGGTGCTCACAACCTCTCTGGTCCCAAAGAACCACCATAAGGAGGGCCCAGGGAAGAGTGTGCCATTTTCAGTGGAAAACAAGTGGAGGTTATGAATTATGATGGCTGTGCACTTTGGATGTGGACTTGCTGTACCTTTTTTTTTATAGCAAGACACTGACTGCTTAAGAAATAAGGATGTTGTAATGAACCCATTAAACAGATGTGAAAAGAAGCATTTTAAGAGGAGCAGTTTTTTGAAAAATGAATTTTCAAACTCTTGAATTGAACATACTCAATGTGTGTGTAAATAAACATATTTATTTACATAGAAAATAAAATGAAATGAAATGCAATGAAATAAAAAAAATAAAATAAAATGGGCATGTGGCTGGCCCAGTTGGTGGAGCATGTGAATCTTAATCTCAGAGCTGTGAGTGTGAGCCCCATGTTGAATGTAGAAATTACTTAAAATAAAGTCTTTTAAAAATATATATTAAATAAACTATAAAATAACTTTATACTAAGTCATTAAGGAAATAATAAAAAGAGCCAAAACTATAAGGAAAGAACTGAACATGATTTTAAAAAATCAAGATAGAGGGGAAAAAATGAATAGAACTTCTGCAAAAAGAAAAAGAAGAATTTTGGAATTAGAGATTGAAATTTTAAGAATTAAGGATGAGTTAATAACAGAGTACATGGAGCCGCTGAGGTTTAAACTGGAGAACTGGAGAATAGTTCTGAGGAAACTACCCAGGATAAGAGAGTAAAAGAGGCACACAGGACCTCCTTGTACTACCCTTTGCAATTTCCTATGAATCTATGATTACTGTAAGTTCTTAGTTTGGAGCATAACTCATTCTGGAAACATGCTTGTAATCCAAAGCACTGGTGTATCAAAACGAATTTCAGGAACCATTATCGCAGTCGTGATCATATAACATTAGGCATTGCGTATTGTAAGACATCACTTGTTTATCAAGTTAAAGTTTATTAGAAATGTTTGCTTGTCTTCCAGAACACTTGCAGAACAAGTTACTCACAATCCAAGGTTTTACTGTATTTAAAAATAAGGTTTTAAAAATACTATACCTTGCTTTTAACCAAATATGTATATGGTAAATGCATAAAAAAGTCTCCATATTGTTTAAAACTTTCTGAATGCTACATGCTTGATACTTAACATTTACAAAATAATAATAGCAATGATGCAGAACATAAGAATTGTAATAGCTTACAAACCAAAAAAATTGTTTGACTCAGGGGCACCTGGATGTCTCAGTCTGTTAAGGGCCTGACTTCAGCTCAGGTCATGATCTTGCAGTTCATGAGTTTGAGTCCTGCATGGGGCTTCATGCTGACAGCTCAGAGCCTGGAGCCTGCTACAGATTCTGAGTCTCCCTCTCTCTCTGCCCCTCCCTCTCCCATTCATTCTCTCTTTTCTCTCTCTCTCTCTCTTTCAAAAATAAATAAACCTTAAAAAATATTTTTTAAACTTTTGACCCAAGAATCATGTCAGAAAATAACATGCACCAGCAAACTAAACAAGATTTAGACTTTCACTTTGTTTTGTGATAAATAATAATTTATTTAACTCCAATCTCAGAAACTCTGACAGAATTATAATATTCCAGTTTAAGCAGAGAGTACATGCAGTCCTGACTTTGCATGATTCTCATATATAGAAATTTCAGTTACCACGTATCAGTTAAATAACACACGTCCTCCAAATTTTCAATTTTCAGTTACCACAGTATATTCAGTACCATTACACGAAGTACTAACTTCTCAGCTAGGTCTTCAGTCCACAAATCACTACATAAGTAAAAGACATGCCTCATGATTAGAAAGCAATCACATCACTTCTTTTCAAAGTCTGTTGGTGATTGATCACTGAACATCTGTTCCTCAATTCATGCACAGGCAGTAAAGTGTGTAGTTCTGCTGTGTCTGTTCCCTGGAGACAGACTCAGGTGACATTTTGCTAAAATGGATAATCAAAAGAGCAAAATGGACAACAAAGTTAAGAGTAGAGCAAAGAAAAGAAAGTCAGAAATTATAAAATTAAAATCAGACATAAATGCAGTTATAGAGGGAATAGTTGATCATGGGAATGTAGACGCCGGTACCATTAGAAACTCCAGTAAGAGAAACTTACTGTGAAAGCAAATGTAAATGGGAAAAATGATCATTATAAAAAACATAAATATGTCCCAGAGGAAATGACTCCAGCAAAAAGCTTTACACAAAAGGAATTCTCAAATATATTTTCCAACATCACAGCCATAGGAGTAGGAATGTTGGGAATGTGAGGAGTTGATCCAAACTTAAAACGAGTAAAACAGGGGCACCTGGGAGGCTCAGATGGTTAAGCCTCCAACTCTTGATTTTGGTTCAGGTCATGGTTCGTGGGTTCCAGCCCCGTGTCCAGCTCTGCACTGACAGCACAGATCCTTCTTAGGATTCTCTCTCTTCCCCTCCCGTGCTCCCCTGCTCGTGCGCTCGTTCTCTCTCTCTCTCTCTCTTTCAAAATAAACATTTAAACAATGAGCACTACAATTGGCCAACACAGAAAAGGTTTTACTCCTTGTAAGTTATACAAGAAGACAAGCATTGTTGAAACTATACCTAAGTTTCTACAAATAAAACACATCAATATGTTTTATATTACAGTGTACTAAACATTACTTTTACTATTTTTTGTGTGTTTAATAAACACGTAACCATGTACACACATGTATAAACAGTAAAGATGTTTTTAATGTTTTGACAAAAAAATATTTAAAGATCACGGAACAATCATGATTTTCCCCTATAGATTTTAAGATCATTTGCACAATTGTTTTTACTGCCCCACACTACTGTGCAATGTGAGGACTCCCTACATGTCCCTACAAGGGGCTAATCTACCTGTGCATGAATTGAGTAACAACTCCATTCCCCTTTAAGAAAATAGATATTCTACATGACTTAGGAGTTAAATAACACAAGGAGGGCTTGGGTTTTTCCTCTAACCCTGTGTGCTGTCATCTGACAGTCAAATCCCCTTTTTTATGGTCCTTTATATATTTCAAGCAAGAAAACTCTCACTTTATTTATTTTTATTTTTTTAAAGTGTTTTTATTTATTTCTGAGAGACAGAGATAGCATGAGCGGGGGGAGGATCAGAGAGAGAGGGAAACACAGAATCCAAAACAGGCTCCAGGCTAGCCGTCAGCACAGAGCCGGACATGGGCCCGAACAAACTAACCGTGAGATCACGACCTGAGCCGAAGTCGGACACTCAACTGACCAAGCCACCCAGGCGCCCCAGAAAACTCTCACTTTAAATGAATTCTGAAGTGAAACAACTTATTAAACATCAACTCATGATTATACTTAAATTTATTTTGTTTATAGAGCACTTGATGAGAATGATGATGAACTAATGACCATACATGAGAGCTACGGTCCCTTCAACCGTTTTAATCCAATTTTTTCCTGTGCTTTTTTGTTCGCTATTCTAATACATACAGGTAAATAAATACAGATGCTACCAGTTCAAGCAACCCTTGACATCTCTGTAATCCTCTTCCATCAATCTGAGATGGCTAGTTTGCCTGAGTACATGTGTGAAGCTTTCAGTAATTAAAAAAGACAAACAAACAAAAAACAAAACCTTAGAGAGTGGCCTTATTCCAAAATATGCACAAAAATTTAAAAAGGAAACAGAAACAAATAAAATTATCATCAGAACTATAGATGAGAATTGTTATAGAAAATTTTATTTGCAGCCTTCTTTATAATGGATAAAAATCTTAAATGGAAGTGACTTAAATATCCAAATTTAGATGAATGGAGCAAAATATGTAAATTCAGAATGGACTATTAAGCATCTGTGAAAATTTATGTTTAGGAATAGTTTTCAACAATGAGAGAAAATGCATATAACTTAGAAAAAAAAAGAGTATAAGGTGATAGATAGATCTAATGAAACTATGTATTTCAAAATGCACAAAAGTACTAAATAGTAATATAATATTAACAAATGCCCATGGAGGGTGTAATTGTGAATGTTTGACTGACTGATGGATAAAAGGATTGATAGTTGCATCTTTATACTTTTCAATACTTTCCAAATTATAAATGACAATAAAAGTATTTTTAAATACTTCACCAATAAAAATTACATAAAACAAAGAAGCTCTCCTTCCAGACTACAAGCGCTTCTCAAAACACCCCTGCAGCTTGAGCAACAAAGAAAGGACTCTTCTTGGGAAGGAACTTTCTACATCATATTCAGGCCCCATTTTCAGAGACTAAATACAGTAAGGAAAGGTAGGAGCCCATGATCCTCGCGGAGACAATGGCGAGCAAATCCTGTAGCAACTCTCCCTAGGACCCATTCCAACCCCCCCAGTACTCATAAGGGAGAATTTGCCAGAATGGAATTTGCCTGTGGCTATTTTGTAACAACTTAACAGGATGGAAAAATAAACCATGTCTGTGACATTTGGTTATAGCTTTAGTAAACCAGTATTTTTTTATAGGAAAAAGATCAGGACAAATGATTAGTCTCAAAAACCCAGAATTAAATAAACAAACCAAACAAACCAAATGAAAGAAGCAAAATCAAAGACAACTAAAAATCATCAAATACCAATTTATCAGGGACGCCTGGGTGGCTCTGTCGCTTAAGTCCTACTTCGGCTTAGGTCATGATCTCACGCTTTGTGGGTTCGAGCCCCTCATCGGGTTCTGTGCTGTCAGCTCAGAGTCTGGATCCTGCTTTGGACTCTGTTTTGGACTCTCTCTCTTTACCCCTCCCTGGCTCCTGAGCTCGCTCTCTCTCTCTCTCTCTATCAAAAATAATTAAGAAACACTGGGGAAAAAAATCAATTTATCCAAGTCATTCCTTGGAGGTAGTGTGTTTGAAAAAGATTAGAATTAGAATATCAGTGAATCTATGTTATTATTTTTCTCTGTGGTTTCATTATCCGTAAGTTAGAGGTCTTTAAAAATAGTTCAATTCTATTTTTAATGTAATTGTTTATTACAAAAATTACATATGCACATACCTTTCTTTTTATAAATTCAAATAGACTAAAGTCAGTAAGCGAAAAATAAATAACTCTATACTCCAAACTTAAATCTCACTCCAGAGTGAACTATAAAATTATAGTTTCTTGGGTTTCATCATAGAAAATTTGGGGATACATACAAGAGTACAAATACACACACACACACATTTATTTTATGCATGTAAGAAACATAATATGCCTGCTTCTCTGCATTCTTTTGTCCCCTAAAACTATATATTGGAAGATTTCCACACTGGTACATAAAAATAAACTTCATTGTTTGTAATTGTTAAATGTCATCACATGCATGATTATTCTATAATTTACTTAATTTCTTGATATTTAAGTTGTTTCTAGTTCTTGCATTATTACAATCTGCTGAAGTGGGCATCCAAGTACATATTATTTTTGTATGTTAGTTGAAGTAGGATAAGTTCTTAGCAATGGAATTGCTGGACCAAAGGCACATTTTACTTTTTGAGAAATATTACCAAATTACCCTATATATGGGTTTACACTAACTGATACTCCCAAGAACAGTGTAGATAATAATGATTTTTCTGGCAACTTCATCTTGCAGCATTATTCTATAACTGTCAATCTCATACTCTGAAAATAAGTACCATTTCACCCACCATCAGCTGCCACACCAGAAGACTTTGATCATTTATTCTTTCAAATTATTCTCATCATTGAAAGTCTTCACCTTACTTATATTGTTGTTGGGGTTGGGCAGTAACAATAGTTTCGGCAGTAATAATGGAATCTAGTAGTACTGGATTCTGAAACCTTCGTTTTAATGGGGGGAATAACTGTATAATCTCATTTCCAAAATCTTGAATGTGCTAAAACTGGCTTGAATGGTACATCTAAATACAGTCATTAAAGAACTGTTTTTTAAAAATTAAATGGTGGTCATTCATCTTTGAATGATATCCTGATTTCCACTTATATGTTTACAAAATATAACATTAAAAACTTTTAGCATCTTCATGCCCTCCAAAATAACTTTGAAATGTCTATCAGATCTTATGCTAGTATCTCCCCAAAGTATATATTTTTCAAACCTTAGTAATGAAAAACTAACTTCCTAATTACTAGCAATGTAAAAATAAACAATTTCTTACCTGAAATGCTTGAACTTCTCCAAGACCTTTCTTAAAGTTCTACAAAGTAGAATCTGTGAAACACATGGCACATCCAAGAAGGAAATCTTTAAATATTGGACATGAGCACAAAGTGGTAGCTCTTTTAGAAGAGAATTTTCTCTACTGCAAACCAGCTGTAGGGACAGTCTAGTTATAGCCCTCAGAAAAGCTGTGCTGTGATATATCAATTTACACCTACTGTGCATTAAATGAGAAGCCAAAGGCCACGTGCTGGGCACATAACTTATCACCCCAACATAAAACACATATTGCATTTACTAGTAAAAATATTTAAGGTATGGTGTCTGGGAATTTGTAATGTGACAAACAAGTAAAGAAGGTGGGTATTTATGGTATTATTAGCTAACCGATGATGCCAGAATATCCATAATAAATAGTAAAAGAAATGACCAGCTAGACTTGAAAATTTTAAACAAATAATGGAAAATAGGTAATTATTAAAATTACAAAGGCCATATATCAGTGGTTTTATACCAAATTTGTGAAGTGTTAGTTGATTACACAAATCTGAGTGCTTAATGCTTATTCTTATTCCATAAAGCAGTTATCGAAAAAATAGTGATTCTGCACTATTTTTGAAAGGATTGAGTCCAATATCTCTGGAGCAAAATAGTAAGTAATTACAACTTTCTTATTTTTTTAATGTTTATTTATTTTTGAGAGAGAGAGTGACAGAGTGCAAGTGGGGGAGGGGCAGAGAGAGAAGGAGACATAGAATCTGAAGCAGGCTCTGGTAGCACAGAGCCCAAGGCAGGGCTGGAACCCATAAGCCATGAGATCATGAGCTGAGCCAAAGTCAGATGTTCAACTGACTCTGGGCCACCCAAGTGCCCCAGAAATTTTCCATTAAAAAAAAAATGTTTTATTTATTTCTGAGAGAGAGAGACAGCGTGAGCAGGGGAAGGTCAGAGAGAGAGGGAGACACAGATTCTGACACAGGCTCCAGGCTCTGAGCTAGCTGTCAGCACAGAGCCCGACGTGGGGCTCAAACCCATGAACCGTGAGATCATGACCCTAGCCGAAGTCCGACGCTTAACCGACTGAGCCACCCAGGTGCCCCAATTTTCCATTTTAATTGTGACAGCGGGGCTACTTTCACATGAGAAAACATACTTGCAAGAATAATACTATACTACCCAGACATAATGCTACCCCACTTGCTGACTGCTTCACCTGCAGTGGCACATGAAAGTGGTTTCTGCAAAAGTGACAGCCCTGGAGAATAAATGCCATAGGGAAAAAACACCATCCAGTGGGAATGGGAGTTAGTCGGTAAATGTCCCAGAATCCCTTCATACTGCAGGGTGATTTTAATATGAGTTTCCTGGGGCATCTCCCATAGGATGTGCCTCCAGCAGTTACCTACACATCAGTGCACCCTTTATTGCCTTTTCTCTCTTGCTTTTGCTTCCTAGGATGACTTCCCAAATAAATTAACGGCAAACAAGTCCTTATCTCAGAGTAGGCTTTGGGGCAAGCCAAATTAAGAAAGCAGCTTGTATGTGATAGAAGTTGATAGCTCTCTCTTGAAGTAGTTCAGAGCTGTACAGCCAAGGGTCGGTAGTGTTACCCTACCTTTCTCGGCGTGTCACTTCTTCATCCAGTTACAAGATGGTCCAAGTTGGCTCTTCCACCTCTCACCATCTCCCAACCTGTGGAGAGGGTGAATAAGCAGAGTGTACAAGACAACTCTTTCAGGGACACATCTGAGATATGTACACAATGCTTGTGTTTATGGACCTTTGGCCAGGACTTAATCATATGACTACATGTGGCTGCAAGGGTGGATGGGAAACGTTGTCTCTATTGGGTAATCATGTACGCAGGTAATACTCAGAGTTTTACTATTTGAGAAAGGGAGAAGAATATTTGTGGAAAACAAATATCTGCACCTTTATAATGTCTCATTATGACCTTAAACCAATTGTATGTAATGTGATTATTGGTAGGGTTAGGTCTAAATCTACCATCTTGATATTTGTTTTCTATTTGTCCCACCTGTTCTTGTCTCTCTCTCTTCCTCTTTCTCAGACTTCCTTTGAACTAATCCTTTTCTACAGTTCCTTTTTTTTCTCTTTCTCCAGTTTATTAGCTATAAATCTTTGTCTTATTATTTTAGTGGTGGCTTGAGGGTCATCACCAAGTACTCATTTTCACTTATCACTATCTTCAAGTAGTAGTATGCCACTTCACACATAGCATCAGAACCTTACAAGACTATATTTCCATTTCCATTTCCATTTGTTAGGTAAGAGTTGTGCTGTATTTACTCTAGTACTAAACTCCTCTATCCACTACCCTGTGGATTTTGAGGTTTTCCATTGTACCTGATGGGAGCAGGTTCTACCCCTGACCCTATCTGAGCCTATTACTGTTTTCCCTCATTTTTGTCAAGCTCTCCTGGCTTTAGGCAGTTTTTTTTCACATACTGGTTAATACTCAGTTCTCTAGGGCAACCTTCTGAAAATCTATTGGACATCGTTAAATCTTCAGCCTTCCAGGATGAAGATAGGGGTGCTCTACTTTTAAAATAGAAGGAGACTTTCACCTGGTAGACAGAGAAAGCAGGTTGATGTAGGTGGCTGTGATGTAAAAAGCTCCCCTTATTCATGTTTCCATCAACTGTGTCTGCAGTTCCAGGCACCAAGCACAGGTACAGGTATCAGGAAGCCTCGCAAGAGATGGTAGGTCATACATGGGAGTCACCATCCCTGGGAAAATGCCACAGTACCCCTCCCCAAACTCTGATGTATTCTTAGACTACGATGGACACTTTCGCAAGAGTCTACAAAAGTCTAACTAGGAAATAAGGGATGATTAATGGACCTTTTAACCAGCTTAACCGAAGCTCACAAATCACTAGCATAAATAGCATTTTTCAAGCCCATCTCCAATACCTTTCTGCATCCACTGATGTATCCAGGAGCCTTTTTTCATTTTTATTTGTTCTTAGTTGGAAAAAGAAATAAAGAATTTGAGATTAGAGCAGAGCCCAGATGACAGATGAGAGGACAGAAGAAAGAATGGGTCTATCTGCTACTGAGACTCAAGAGTTAGCTTTTATTTTTGGCCCCTCTGGGTTCTTTAATTAATTAATTAGGGACACCTGGGTGGCTCAGTCAGTTAGGCATCTGACTTCAGCTTAGGTCATGATTTCACAGCTCATGAGTTCGAGCCCTGCATCGTGTTCAGAGCCTGGAGCCTGGTTCAGATTCTGTATCTCCCTCTCTCTCTCTGCCCCGCCTCCACTTGTGCTCTGCCTCTCTCTGTCAAAAATAAATAAACATAAAAATGTAATTAATTTTTTAAAAAATGACTGACACAGAAAAAAAATAATGTATCAATATGGATTCATTGCTTGTGACAAATGTGCCAGGCTAATGAGATGTTAACAATAAGCAAAATCAGGTGAGAGGGATATGGGAACTCTTCGCACTATATTCTTGATTTTTCACTTTAAATTTAAATTATTTATTTTTTGGAACTCATTCATGTAGTTCCATTTTTTAATTCTGGTAAAAAACACAGAACATAAAATCTATCCTCTGAGCCATTTCTGAATGTAAAGTCCAGGAGTGTTAAGATGTTATTCACATTGTTGCGCAACCAATCTTCAGAACTTTTCATTTTGCAAAAATAAAACTCTATACCCACTAGAGAACAACTCCTCATTTCCCCCTCCCTCCTGTATCTGGTGACTGCCCATTCGACTTTCCATCTCTATGGATTTGACTACCCTAAACACCTCATGTAAGTGGAATCTTACAGTATCTGTCTTTTGTGACCGGCTTTTTCACTTAGCTCAGTGTCCTCAAACTTCATCCACGTTTTGTGTGTGTCAGTGTCTTAAGTCAGCTTGGGCTGCTATAACAAAATACCATAGACTGGCTAGCTTAAACAGTGGATATTTCATTCTCCCGGTTGCAGAAATGGGAAACTCAGGGTGCCAGCACGGGCCACTTCTGGTGAAAGCTTTCTTTCTGGCTTGTGGACTGCTTGCTATGTCCACATATGATGGAAAGAGAAATTTCTAGCCTTTTCCTCTTCATATAAGGACAATAACTCTCTCATGGAGTCTCCACCCACATGACCTAATGAAAACCCAAGTACCTCCCAAAGGCCCTCCTAATACTATTACATTGGGGATTAAGATGTCAACATACGAATTTCTGGGGAACACAGAAACTATGACTATTCAGTCCATAATAGTCAGAACTTTCTTTTTTAAAGGCCGAATTGCGGGGCGCCTGGGTGGCTTAGTCGGTTAAGCGTCTGACTTTCGCTTATTAGGTCATGATCTCACGGTTCATGGGTTCGGGCCCGCGTCGGGCTCTGTACTGACTGCCAGCTCAGAGCCTGGAGCCTGTTTCAGTCTGTGACTCCCTCTCTCTCTGACCCTCCTCTGCTCACGCTGTCTCTCTCTGTCTCCTAGAAATAAATAAAACATTTAAAAAAAAATTTATTAAAGGCCAAATTGCATATACCGTTCACATCCACATATGTTTATCCATTCATTCATCTATAGATATTTGGGTTGTTGTACCTCTTGTCTATTATAAATGGTGCTGCTATCAACACAGGTGTGCAAATATCTCTTTGAGATTCTACTTTAAATTATTTTGGATATATACCCAGAATTGGAATTGCTGGATCATGTGGTAATTCTACCACTAACTGAGGTCTCAGGTTTAGGTCTTTGCTCCATTTGAGTTAATTTTTGTACATGGCATTAGATAAGGTCCAACTTAATTCTTTTGCATGTCGATATCCAGTTTTCCTAACAGCATTTGTTGAAGAAACTATCCTTTCCCCACTGGATAGTCTTGTCATCCTTGTCGAAAATCATTTGATCATATATGTGAGAGGTATTTTTCACTATCTAATCTGTTACATTGACCTATATGTCTGTCTTTATGCCAATACCACACTGTCTTGGTTATTACAAATTCATAATAAGTTTTCAAATTAGGAAGTATAAGACCTTTAACTTTGTTCTTTTTCAAGAATTTCAGCTATTCAGAGTCCCTTGAAATGTCATACAAATTTTAGCACTTTTTCTAAATTTTAAAAATATTTATTTACTTTGAGAGAGTGAGTGGGAGAGGCAGAGAGAGAGGGAGAGAGAATCCCAAGCAGCTTTGCCCTGCCAGTGCACAGCCCGACTCCAGGCTTAATCTCACAAACCATGCCAAGAGTCAGTTACTTCACCAACTGAGCCAGCCAGGCACCTCAGCACTTTTTTAAAAAAATAAATCTGAAATTATTTTAAAATTATGTTTATCAAGAAATGTCATGGATATTTTTCTCTGTCAACAAATATATTCCTATGTATTTTATTTTTTTAAATTGTTTTTTTTAATGTTTTATTTATTTCTAGGAAAGAGAGAGAGAGAGAGAGAGAGAGAGACAGCGTGAGCAGGGGAGGGTCAGAGAGAGAGGGAGTCACAGACTGAAACAGGCTCCAGGCTCTGAGCTGGCAGTCAGCACAGAGCCTGATGCGGGGCTCGAACCCAGGAACCGTGAGATCATGACCTAAGCGAAAGTCGGACGCTTAACCGACTAAGCCACCCAGGCGCCCCTATTCCTATGTATTTTAATTACTGCAAAACATAATATTGTATGTATACACTACACAATTTATTTAAACAATTTCTTACTGATGGAAATTTGGGGTTTTGTCAGTGTTATATTCTCCAACTGCTTCAGTGAGAATCTTTGTGCATATATATTTTCTAACAGGGGCTATTTTTATAAGTTTTTATATAAACTCCAGTTAGCTAACATGCAGTGTAATATTAATTTCAGGTGTACAATATAGTGACTTGACACTTCCATATAACACCTGGCACTCATCACAAGTGCACTCCTTAATCCCCATCACCTATTTAACCCATCCCCACACCCCCCTCCCTTCTTGTCCCCATCAGTTTGTTCTCTATAGTTAACAGCCTGTGTCTTGGTTTGCCTCTCTCTCTTTTTTTTGTCCCTTTGCTCATTTGTTTTGTTTCTTAAATTCCACATATGAATGAAATCATATGGTATTTGCTTCTCTCTGAATGACTTATTTTGTTTGAAGAAATCTCTCTAGTCCCATCTATGTTATTGCAAATGATAAGATTGTTCCTTTTTATGGCTGAGTAATATTCCATTATATATATATTCCATTATATATATACATATTCCATTATATATATTATCCATTCACCAGTCAATATATACTTGGGTTGTTTCCATAATTTGACTATCTATCATACATAATACTGCTATAAACATCAGGGTACATGTATACCTTTGGATTAGTATTTTTGTATTCTTTGGGTAAATACCTAGTAGTGTAATTACTGGATTGTAGGGCAGTTCTATTTTAACTTTTTGAGGAACCTCCATACTGCTTTCCAGGGTGGCTGCACCCCAGTTTGCAATCCCACCAACAGTGCAAGAGGGTTCCCCTTTCTCTGCATCACTGTCAATAGTGTTGTTTCATGTGTTATTATTTTAGCCATTTTGACAGGTGTGAGGAGATATCTCACTGTGTTTTTTTTTAATTAATTTATTTATTTTGAGAGACAGAGAGAGAGAGAGAGAACCAGTAGAGGAGGGGCAGTGAGTGACGGGGACAGAGGATCCAAAGTAGGCTCCAGGCTCTGTGCTAACGGCAGAGAGTCTGATTCAGGGCTGGAGATCACGACCTGAGCCAAAGTCCGACACTTAACAGACTGAGCCCATCCAGTGACTCTCATTGTGGTTTTGATTTGCATTTCCCTGATGATGACTGATATTTAGTATCTTTTCATATGTCTGTTGACCATTTGTATGTTATTTTGGAAAAATGTCTATTCATGTCCTCTGCCTATTTTTTAATTGGATTATTTATTTTGGGGGTACTGAGTTTTATAAGTTCTTTTTTCTTAATTTTTTTTGAAAGAGAGAGAAAAAGAGAGTTTGCATGAGTTGAGAGAGGCAGTGAAAGAGAGACAGAGAATCCAAAGCAGACTCCACACTGACAACAGAGAGCCCGATGAGGGGCTCAAACTCACAAACTGACACATCATGAACTGAGCCAAAGTTGGACACTTAATTGACTGAGCCGCCCAGGTGCCCCTGTAAGTTCTTTATATACTCTGGATATTAACTCTTTATCAGATATATCATTTGCCAATATATTCTCCCATTCTGTAAGTTGCCTTTTAGTTTTAATGATTGTTTCCTTCACTTTGCAGAAGCTTTCACATCAATGTAGTCCCAATAATTTATTTTTGGTTGTGTTTCCCTTGACAAAGCAGAAAAAAATATCCAATGGGAAAAAGAATGTTTCCTCAACAAATGGTGCTGAGAAAACTAGACAGCAATATGCAAAAACATGAAGGGCTATTATTTTTTAGAAGCCAGTACTTGGAGTGGGATTGCTAAATCAAAGAATATCCTCATTTTAAAAGTTAACTTACACCAAACTGTACTATACTATGCTAAAGATGTACTATACTATATATACTATAGATTAATTGTACTGTACTGTAGTATAGATTAATATTATAAACTTATATCATATCAACACTGAATGTGAGGCTTTCTCCTTCTCTCTTTAATGTGTTGTTTTATCTTTTTCATTCTTGCTTATTTGGTGGACAAAAATGTGAAATATCCTTGTTGCTTTAACTGCACTCATCTGTAGTCTCCTAAACCTTCAAACTGAGTGTTACATATTCATTATCATGTAAACTTAAAAAACTTTAACTCTTCCCATTGTCTTCAATAGAAATGTTTCTTGGTTACAAGCCAGAGAAACTGACTATGGCTAACTTTAGCAGCAGATAATGCACTAGAAGCAAATCAAGAGTCACAGAATTGACAAGGGCTAAAGAATCAGCTTTTTAAAATAGTAAGTGGGGGGTTTCTAAGGGTAAGTCCAAAAAAAAAAAAAAAACCCGGCAGCAATGGTCCCTTAGCAAGAAAGATTTGATCACAGATGCAGTGAATAACCTTCTGCCACCCTTTGTGTCTTTCACTCAAAATTCCAAAGTCATGAGAGAAAGAAGTGTCTGTTTGGCCAGGTCTAAATCACATGCCCTGACCCCCTCAGTTTCCACAGTGGGAAGTGAGTTCAATCTCTCATGAAATATACAAACAATGGAGATTCTCCATCTGGGACACAAGAGTTCTAATAAAGACAGACAGCGGTGCTGAAACTGCCCCCAAACTGGCAAGTGTACACTAAGTGGGGAAAAAAATGCTTATCACTTAACAACTTTTTTTCTGTAATTGAAGACTGGTTAATACTGGGTGGATTTTCCTTCAGACTGATGTTCCAGGCATCCTTAATCTGGGTAGGTAGACTTTTTTTTATTAAATATTTCGGACATTTGTATCTTCAGCAAAAGTTAGCATGGAAATAAACACTTGAGTTTATAGTTCCAATATATTAATTTCTATTGTGTATTGAAAATTTAAATTCCCCTAGTGAATCCAAGGACCACAATAACTTTGCAAAATCCATCATAATAGTACTCCAGAGGGAAGAAATTTCTTTCATTAAATGAGTTCTACAAGCATAGGTTTGAGACTCAGTTAACAAAACAAATCAAAAAATCACTATGACGTTACAAAGTTACCTGATCAAAAGAGACAAATCTATAAATCTATTTGTATTTTTAAAATGGGGCTTGGGGCACCTGAGTGGCTGGCTGGATTAACCATTCAACTTTGGCAAAGGTCATGATCTCACGGTTCATGAGTTTGAGGCCCCTGTTGGGCTCTGTGCTGACTTCAGAGCCAGGAGCCTACTTCGGATTCTGTATTCCCGTCTCTCTGTCCATCCCTCTCTGTGACCCTCCCCCACTCACACTCTGTCTCTCCCTCTCTCAAAAAAATTAATAAATAAATAAATAAACAGGAAACCAATTTTTTAAATTAAAAAATGGGGCTTAATTGGGGCGCCTGGGTGGCTTAGTCGGTTAAGCGTCCGACTTTCGCTTAGGTCATGATCTCACGGTTCGTGGGTTCGAGCCCCGCGTCGGGCTCTGTGCTGACTGCCAGCTCAGAGCCTGGAGCCTGTTTCAGTCTGTGAATCCCTCTCTCTCTGACCCTCCCCTGCTAACGCTGTCTCCCTCTCTCTCCTAGAAATAAATAAAACATTAAAAAAAATAAATTAAAAATGGGGCTTAATTTTGTAGGTGTTTTTAGCCTTTTTAAGAGACTTACATAGTTTGCTAGAATTATGTACTTATCAGTCAGTGGTTTAAACTTCATAAACATAGTTTCAAAAATGGTAGAGAAAATGTCTAAGACTGCACTGTATGCCTTATTCTAAAGTAATCACCCTGATCCTTGTTAAAACTTGGTTATCTAGAATAGAAATTACATCTGAGGTAAAGGACAACATTCTAAATCATCAGGAAAAAAAAACTGTAGGATATTACAGAATGAGGATGTCTTAGATCTAATTAAAATAATGGCAAATATCACAAAAATTATTTTTAAAATCTCTAAGTATTTTGACAAAAGGAGGGGTGAGAATTCCTGCTATTTTTCAGGAAGGAAGTTGACAACTGCTCTCTCACTCATAGTTATTTTTCTGAAATTGTAAATTGTAACCGCCTTAATACATTACATTTAGTTCCAAATAATTTTGGTTAGAGCTATTTCCTGAAACAAAATCCACTCTGAAAGAACAAAAATTCATGACTAAGGATATCGGGTCTATAATTCAACTTTCCACTTAAGCTCTATCTCAGTGTAAGAATGTAATAGTCATACACATAGGAGTATTCTGGCCCATATGGATTCTAGTTTTACTTTATATTTGAAAATTTGTCTCAGTACACACATCAGTCTTGGTTAGCGTTAGAGCATCCTTGAGAGATTTCATCCATAAGAACAGGAGAAGTTATTCTGAGATAAATCACACACACACACACACACACACACACACACACACACACACTGCTTACCGCAAATCTCAGTGATTACAACACAGGCATCTACAGATCTGGTCCATGTGATCCTTGTCTGGAATCTCAGCCTTACAGAATATCTCCTAACAGTAACATCATAGGTTGTTGTTGTAGCGCTAGAGAAACAGAACATAAAAAAATTCTACCCAGAAATTATGGCAGCAAGGCAAGTCACCTAACCTCGCCTGAGTTTAAGAAGGTATCAATACATTATCCTTATCCAGGAAGGAATAAAAAATACTGAGAAACAATCAACTACAGATACATCCTTATTCTTTTAAGTGTTGACAAAATTATGTGTTTGAGCCTAGGAAATTAAGGACAAGATCTACCAAAACATTTGCTACTTTTAGGAGACATCTTGTATACTCTGGATGTCACACTCTGCTCTCTTTCAAACTTCAACTGAACATCTTCCTAAATGTCTACTAACTACTAATGATCTACTAGCGTCTATTATGAAATAGGTGGCATTGGTATACAGTTAAATTTTGTAGGTCCCCTGGAGCCATCACTAGACTAGTTACACAACTTTTTATCTTCTGAGAAGTAAGAATGTCCTTTTCAAGATGAAGACTATAGACTACTCTTTCTGCTTCTCTTCATATCCTAAGTAAACCTAAACTAAATAACTTAGATTGTATCGAGGATCAACCAAATGTGTGGTGGGTTGCATCCCATCGTCCTCTGCCTATCCTTCAAATTCGCCTACTTGCTATTAGTGTCAAGAATTTTTAGATAGTTTTAAGTTCTGTAAGTGTACCTGCCTATACCTATATCATGTGTTGGTATGGTAAAACTCTAATTTTTTTTTCTATTTTAACTCACGATATTCTTCATTATAAAGATACTTGATTACTAAGATGTTTGATGTGTGTATATCAGTGAACACACTTTGTAGGTGCCAAATGATTAAAGCTAAAATAAAGCCCAGCATAAAATACAAAATGCTAGCTGATATCATAGGAGGCATACACAGGTTATACTGCACAGTCAGTTTAAGGAACCACTTAGAAGCCATCTATTAACTACAAAAGAAGAGAGAGAGTTTATTTTGTACTCTTTTGTTTTATTATTATGTTTTCTTATAGAGAGAGCATAAGGTTGGGGGGCGGGGGTACTAAGAGGTAAATGGAGAGAGAATCTTAAGCAGGCTCCACACCCAGCACTGAGCCTGGATTTTTTTATTTTCAATTTCACATTTAAAAGTGATAAGAGGATCCCTTCAGAAATATTGGCACTAAATTTGATAAACCTGGTAAAAGTACATTGATAAGCCAACTTATTTGATGGATAAAAGAAATAATGAATAAATTCACAAAAGAAAAATTAATAAAAATATTAAATGTTGTTTTATTTTATCTATAACCAATGAAATATAAACTAAATTTTCTTCTTTCTAATTGACACAGAATTTTGAGTAGGTAATTCAAAATAGATTAATATGTGCCTATTGTATAGAGTTAAAAATTATAATATCAATATGAATCTCCTCAATATAACCTATGTTGTATTCTTAACAAAAATTGTTAACCTAAATCTAATCATTAGAATGTAATTAGAAAAATCCCAATTGTGGAACATTCTGAAAGACAATCCAGTCCTTGGTTTGGACTCTTCAAAAATACAACAATCCTGATAAAATAAAGACAGTGGGACTAAAAATATTCTAGATTTAAGGAGGCTATTTAGACTTTTAGTCTTTTAATCTAATAATAACTATATGCAATGTGTAATTTTTGATTAGACTCTGGATTGAAAGGAAGAAAAGGAAAGAAGGAAGGAAAGGGGTAAGGAGACAAAGATGGAGAGAGGGAGGAAGGGGGAGGAAAACTATATAGCTATATTAAGGGTATTTGGGGGACAATTGAGGAAATTTGAATATGGCCTAAATTTAGAAACTATTATTATATTCATTTTAAATTCTGGGGAAAATAGTATTGAGATTCTGTAGGAATGAGACACATACCAGTATGCCTAAGAATAAAATATCATGGAGACTCTTAACTATAGAGAACAAACCAAGGGTTGATGGAGGGAGATGAGTGGGAGATGGGCTAGATGGGTGATGACTATTAAGGAGGGCATTTGTTCTGATGAGCACTGGGTGTCATCTGTAAGTGATGAATCACTGAATTCTACTCCTGAAACCAATATGCACTGTATGTTAAGTTAAATTTAAATTTAAAAAATAAACAAAACATAATGATGTCTGCAACTTACTTTCAAAGGGTTTAGCAACAGTAACAACTGATTTTTTTTTAATTTTTTTAATGTTTTATTTATTTCTAGGACAGAGAGAGAGAGACAGTGTGAGCAGGGGAGGGTCAGAGAGAGAGGAAGTCACAGACTCTGAAACAGGCTCCAGGCTCTGAGCTGGGAGTCAGCACAGAGCCCGACGCGGGCCTCGAACCCAAGAACCGGGAGATCATGACCTAAGCGAAAGTCAGACACCCAACTGACTAAGCCACCCAGGCACCCCAGTAACAACTGATTTTAATACAAGCCATGATTATAGCCTAAATGTCCACATTGAAATCTCTATATAATGAGGTCATATATATTAAAATATCATTATTCTTTGAGTTCTTATTTTTCCCTCAGAAAACATGGGGAGTTTAAGGGTCACTTTTCTAGAAGGTTGCTTTTTCAAAACAAAAATAATTTTAATGTGATATTTTTGAGATATAAGAAGTACCAAAGAATCACCAAACCTAATGCAAAGCCCAATAAGTTTCTAAAGTAGCAAACCAATTGCTTACTGATAAACTCTTTCAGATTCAAGGATTCCATGCAGACAAACCCACTGGCAAATATGAGATAAAGAAACACATGATTTCTTCAAATGCTAGCTTCTATTATCAAAACAAGAGCTGAGTAGGAAAGACAGATGTGAGAGCGTTAAAGCCAGGTACGTTCTATACAGTTTAAGGCCAAAATAATAGATTTCAAGACCCTTTCAGATATTCTGGAATTGGTTCAGACACTAAGCACTTATCAGCTAACACTTTACTGGCAAAAATTCAAGAAATATTCAAGAAGAGTAACCATGAGGGAGGGAAAATAAAGTAGTAAGGCATAAAAAGTCATAAAGACAAACTTTCCCTACTACCTTTTTTTTTCTAGGATCAGCCCCGCACCCACATAAAATTCTCTCTGGATTCCTTTTCATTGTACACTAAACAATGATCTCATGTCATCTTTGGCATATGTGCATAGGTTACTGATTTGTTCTATCTCCCTGTTGCCAAACAATAGGAAGAGTAGAGAGAGTTGAGTTGCAATGTCTTAGGTCTACAAATGGGACCATTTGGAAAGGCAGTTTTCCTGTGGAACCTGTCTTCTCTGACTGAAACCTATTCAATAAGACTGTTCATTCCTGACCTCCTGCCCCCTTGACACTGATCTGTCCTAAAGAGGATGCCAATATATTGTCTGTCAAATTTATATTAGAAAGCCATAGCATAAGGTCCCTATTTCTATATTGCACACAATGCTTTATGTCAAAGTTTGATAAACATGAAATCACATTTTCAAAGGTTAAAAAAACAAGTGTCAGTCAGTCAAAAATAGTTGACCACTGTGAGTGTCTCACTGGTTGACCTTGAACTCTTCCATGACTCTGAGGTCAATGATATGTCATTAGAGGATAAATTTCTTACAGATTTATAAGCTCATTTCTTTGACTATGATCTTGCCATTACAAACAATTTTAAGTTGTCCATCTTCAAACACCTACCTACTGAAAGAAAACATAAAAGCTATAAAGGGATCAATCTTCTTTTCAGTTGTGCAGAGAACTAACAATTTTCATGCAATGAAACTGATGTTAATAGGAGTTATACATGCATATCTACAAGACAAAGAACCCAAAGATTTCAATAGAATCTAAGACTCAATAAAAGAGAGAAGAAGGTAGAAGAAAAACAAAGAAATGTTCAGTATTTATCATAGATTTCTTTTCTACCTCTATTTTATTTATATAGAATAGAAGAAAGTTAGCAGGTAGAATTATGCAAGTATCTTCAAAGGTCTGATAGAATTGTGAAGCTCATCTTTTATCATGGCTTTTATTATGGCTTTGGTATACCATTTAAATATTGCTCTTAGATTGATTATATGCCACACACACACACACACACACACACACACACACACACATATATCAATTAATGCTACACAAGATTGTCAGGGTCAGTTTTTAATATCAAATACTAAGGGATTTAATACAACCCCAAGACAGAGTTACTCTGTTTAGATGATAGAAAGTATCATGTACGATTAATTACTTTCAAATGCAGTTCTTACCTAGAAATAGTGTTTTGTTATATAGTTTTTGTTTGTTTGGTTGGTTGGTTTCGTCTACCTGAAAAAGAAAGAAAGAAGAAATAAATTTGCATTTCTTTTTCTTCACTTTCTCCAATATCAAAATTTGGAGCAAGCAAGCGAGATTTTAAACCCCCACAGATCTATTGCAAACCCTCATAAATGATTATAAAGAACATCCTTTCATTTCCTCCATTTTTTTGAACATTAAAACTTAGCTTATCCTCCCAGGAATGCACAATAGATGTAAAATATATCTTAGATTTTTCTCAATTATGATTTAAAAGAAAGTGCTATCCTCAAGGGTTGTGCAGAAGTACATGGGAACAACTTTAAGCTTCTGTTCCCAAATATTTCTTAAGCTATGTGTTTCAAATGTTTTTTAGCCATGTGATGTTCTGTACTGTGTCTTTCATATTAGCTGAAGTGTGACTGAAAATAATGCCAGGCAGCTTTATTATTTAGCCAACACGGTTCTGTAACCCATTTGAGTTTCCAACTCAAATAATCAACTTCATTACACTTTAGTGTCTATGTACATTTCCTTACTGCTGTTTGTTAAGACTTGAGTAAAGATGACCACTGAGGGGAAGACAGCCCTTAAACCCTATACTTAGGAACTTCAGACTCACATCTACTTGCAGGAGAAATACATGACAGATCTATTGTTCTGTATTAGCAGGACATTGTCCCAGGATATGAACACATGCAAACTACTCAGGAAGGCCTTTGAATATTTAAGGCAAGACACTAGTGGCTCATCCCAGTGGGAACCACAGAAAAGGGGAACCTGATTAAATTTAATGTCATTGTCACTTTTTTTTTCATTGCGAAGAATTATATAGGTAGCCATAGCTACCACACTGTTCAGACAGCATGACCACAATATTCCCCCTCAGAGGTTGGCGTCAAGGACTGAATTATTCACTCGAAGAATGTGATTCATTGCTGGATGTGGTTCTTACAAGATTAAAAGAGTCATCAGTATATAAAATGCACATACACACTCTGGGGGCAAATGTAAAACAAACCATTGCAACCTTTTGATCACTGATATTCTTGGGCATTCTAAGAATAATATGTTAAAAATTATAAATACTTATTCTTTAGTTTAATTTGGACTATGAGTTCAGTTCCTTTTCCTTTTTCGACATTTAAAAATCAACTTGAAGTTTAAAAGTTTTATTATAAACTGTTGGAGCAGTTTAGAATGAGATTCTCTTCTTATTCTTACTCCCTTTAAAAGGGAAGTAAGTCATTGACTCAATACTAGTTATGCTCCTCTATGGTATGCATACCATCTCTGCATAAAAACTACTCATTTACAAAAGATTGATTGTTCAGGATTAGCAAATAAGCATTATAATAATCTAACAATGTTTACCATACATACCAATGTCCTTTATCAAAATGTAATTTCTCTTAAGTCTCTAAACTTACAATTTTTCTTATCTTAGGTAAATATTTTCAAGTGTGCAGAATCATTTCTAAACATATATTTCACCAAGTTAATTCAAATAAATATGTTTTTAAGTGAGATCATAACTTCACACAGTTTTTACTTGTCTTATCTAAACAAATAATGTTATCTCTTGCAGAAGAGAAAACATACTATTATTTTAGCCATCTATGCTAAATCCCTTACACTTCTTATCTTTTTTACTAATACCAGGCCCTGCTCTTTAAAAGGCAATATAAAAGTGAATACTAGCTACTGCATACGGTAGTCCACCAAGGAAGTACTTGGTGGCTTTTGATAAACTCAGGGGACTAGTAACAAGCTCTCACTTACAGAATGTCAGTTCATCAGTTCAAACTCAGTCTATGCAGGCCTGACTGAAAGCCGTGCCACCTGAGTGTCACTCACTGGAGTTTATAATATGAACTGGAGGCAGACTCAGTCTGATTAATGGTGGACACAAGTCTACAACCCAGCACCCACCATCATAATTGGCTCCCTCGTTTGAAGTTTCAGGAGACTGAATGAGCAATGGAATTTGAACTACCAACTCATTCTAGTCTGACCAGGGAAAGATGAAGGCTCCCTGGTGGGGCTACTTGGAGAAGCTAGTAATACTGCTATTGTGTCTTAGACCTGTCCTATAGAGAAATAGAGAGCTTTCCTCTGTACAAGTACACACTTACGCCACCTTTAAAACACCAAATAATTCATTCTGCATATACATGGTTTAAGTAATGTTAAAATAAAATAACAATGTATTGAGCTTCTTTGTTTTAATCTTCTTTATTTGTTAAACTTAGTAACAATTTCATTAAAGAATATTGATTATATAAGAACTTAATTTGTATTAATTAAAGCCTGATCACATTATCTTCCAGTAGGATTTTATTTGCTGAGATGAAATCGCATTTAGAATTTTCTTTTTTTTAAATCTTATTCCACAGTATGAAAACATGCTAATGTCAAATTCAGAGATCATAATCTCTTTCTATTTAAAAGAAAACATCTGTGTAGATTCTACATATTGATTATTTAAATTAGATGCCTACAGAGATATCACTTTATTGAGAGTTGGGTTGATTTACCATAGAATTTATGAGAAGACAACTGTAAGCAGAAGAAGCTTTGGAGATGCAACTTTGCCCCTGAAATACCAATGGATATTTTCCTCGGTGAAATGTTAAACAATGTGCCTTCAACAATAAACTGACAATGCTTTTCCTGAGGCTTGTGGTGTGGTCACGGTGTTGATCTTGTCTTTTCTTCTTAATGTGCTCCCATACCAGAGACACTACAATGGTCATTCACAAAAACTACAGTACGGAGAAGTTTAAGATGCTTCTTCTGTAATGTTTCTTTCTTCTATCTGCAGCTGGGGGGTTACAGCTGGTGTCTTTTTTTTTTTTTTTTTTGTCCTTCTTCTTTTTTTTTTTTGGTTACCTGAATGGATTTCCGCTTCTTAACTGTACCAGCTTGCCATTCATTGTGATCATAGATTCAATCAGAATATTTTAATGTCCTTTGGCTTCCGAGTTACCTTTCACCCTTCAAATTAGTTTTAAAGTTAGTTTTGCTAATTGTTGAATACTTTTCTATTGTGTCCTCGGTTATATTCCTTGATAATTATCCAAAACCCTCTTATATAATAAAATGACAAATACAAATAAAAATGAGAAAGTTTTTAATTAAGGTCTATTATGTACAGAATATTTCTTTTCAAAAAGCTATTAACAGAACAGAAGTTATTAAAAATGGGATTATTCAGTCTCAGACAGTTTTCTCATATTGCATCTGAGTATCTTTATGGCAATTACAGAAAAAAAGAGAAAATTAGGCATAAAATAACTACAATTAGGCTCTATGCTTCTTAGTCTACATTCTATCTAGTACTAGCAATGGAAAAGACTCAGTTCAAGGTCACTACCAGGATTGCCCGAAAGCAAATATTGACACAACCATAAACTTGAGTATTTCTAATGATTCTGTGACCTTTGTTGTGTCCTTACTATGTATTACACACTATACATAGTACTTTACATTATCATATTAATTCTCACATTATTAAACCTATGAAGTGAGTTCAAATATGCCCATTTCACGAATAAACTAGTGACTAGATGGGCTAAGTAAATTGCCTAAGGTTCATAATGATATAGAAGAATTCACCTGCCTGATTTCAAAACTTTTGCTTTTAAATGCTATGCTTTACAGCATTTCCATATTTATATACACAATTGGATATACATCCGCTGTAAATTTTTTGTGATAAACTGCTATTCAAATATTATCCCTTGGATAATCTCCCCTGACATTTCTTAATATTGGCTTCATTTTGTTTTTTATTGACAAGCTTTACACCTACCAAATAGGTGATATTGGGTATGTCATTTTATCTTTCTGAATCTCAACATTCTCATCCCCAAAACAAGTTAAAGGAACTAGATAAGCTTTTAAAAGTCTGTGTTAGTTAGCTTCTGCTGCATAACTGACTATGCAAACTCACTCACTTAAAAACCAATCATATATTAATAGCTTATGATTTTGTAGGTGAGAAAGTTGGGTGGAGCTTGGATAATGGTTCTTCTGCTGATCCTGACTGGGTTCAATTATATATGTGGGGTAACCAACTATCTTAGCTTGCCTGGGACTGAGGCAGTTTTGAGGGCATGAGATTTTCAGTGCTAAAACTGTACAAGTTCTGGGTAAACCAAGATGAGTTGATCACCCTACATATATCCGGGGTCAGCTGGTATGGAGAGTGGCTAGAAACAAGAAAGTAAGTGAGCTACAAGTATGATCATTCACAGACTCATGCACATAGTGGTAAATATAGGATTCCCCCGAGAAACAAGAGGGGCAAGTCCCAATGAGCAAAATCTCTACTTCTATTACATTAGTTCAAAGTAAATCCTATGGCCCTGATTCAAATAATGAAAGAATAGATTCCATCCATCTCTTTGTGGAAGGCTCTACAAAGTCACACTGTAAAGAAAAAAGAGGTATATAAAGAGACATAAAGAATTTGTAACCATTTTTACAATTCTGTAGTAACAGAATATTTCCTGTCCTGAAATAGGATTCTTGTGCTCATCAACATCCTCTGTCTAAAAGCATTCATGAGAGTAACAGAAGTTCAGTGGCAGAAGTTGTTAGTCTATTGTGGCTATACTATATCCTGAGTAAACCGTATGGCTAGCTAACTTGTCCAAGGACCACTTATCCCACTTGGTGAGTAAACTGGGACCCCTTAAGTGAGAAACAGACAAGAAATAAATTTGCGGTGATAATATTTATGTCATCTTTCTTCTCTTAACTTCTGTGAACAGATTAAGTCTGCAGAGATATTTAAAACCAGGATTATGTACACTGAGTAGCATTTTTATGTAATTTCAGCTGTGCATTAAAAGGGCCCCAAAAGGGTCAGCAAAGCAAGACAATCTAAACTGAGGGCCACCTAGTAATAATTGTTTTCCATTTAAAAAAGGTATTTTGTGTTACCTAACAGATTATTGTAATGGAAAGGAAGCAAAAATAATATAAAATCAGGGAAGGGGAACAAATCATAAGAG